TAGTACATGTGCATAATGGATTATTTTTTTTTCTGTTTCTTAATCTGGTTTATTTTTCTATAGTCTTTCCAGAAGAGTAGTTCTTGGCCACAGTCAGACTGGTTCAATTTAAAATAAGGAAAATGAGTATTTGGTATACGAATATAGCATGAACTTAGAGTTTGAAGCATTGTAACTGTAGGTGTAGCTTCACTCACTGGGCTGAGTGATAATCTTGTGTTCCCAGACCTCAGCTCTGACAAAGGAGATATGCAGCTCTACTTCATGTGGACCTTTAGCTTCTGTAGATAGAGGGAATATGCTTAGGCTGGTTGCTGGGAAGGGGACATAACGTTTCTACCTCCCCAGACTTTCTGCACCTATACTTAACAGACTTGGAAACATCAACTGATGTGCGCTGTTCAGCAAGCCTTTTGATTTTTTTAAGAACATAACTGGTTGCTAAATGTCTTTGCTCTTGAGGTGCCAAGTAACTGTTACTTCTTTTCATTTTTTTGAAGAAGAAAGAAGATTAGATGTAGATGAGAAGCCTCTTGTTGTACAATTAAACTGGAACAAAGATGATCGAGAGGGAAGATTTGTTCTCAAGAATGAAAATGATACCCTGCCCCCAAAGGTGAGCCTTTAAGAAGGAGTGTGCTAGTGGTAACAGCAGTTTTGAAATCTGTGGGACTTGTTTATATAGCAAACCATAATTTCTACTTTTCTAATTCCTGAAAACAACTGCTGCTGCTGACCTTTGATATCTGGAGCAAATCTTTTTAAATACTTCCAGTGCATCTTTGCAATGCAGCACTTTTGTGATCTTTCAGATGGCTTGTGGTGCTTTGATCCGTGTAGCTGTCTAGTACTGCAGCGTGTAAAACCCAGGGAACGCAGAGCTTGCTTTGTTCTCATGTGATGAATTAAAAATTTCCTCAAATAGTATGCGATGCCAGACACCCAGGAGATAATCCTACCTCTCGCAGAGCCTTTAAAAGGGGGTGCCAGAGGGAGTTAAATAACTAAAAACTTACCTCCCTAGGTAACATTGTGTTGCTTAACAAAACTGATGGAAGCCTGTTTCCTTTTGAGGAGGTTGTTGGGTTGTTTTACTTCCGTATGCAAAATGAGGGACATGTGAACATCAGCCATACAAAAGTTTTTTTTTTTTTTTTTTTTTAAAATATTGGTCATTTAAATATTAGATAAGACTTTGGCTCCTGAAGTCATATAATATTTAGAATTATATCTTAACTTGGATGCTTATAGCTGTGGAAAACATGCTGTTCAGTGTGGGCTGTCTTCAGACAAGTTTTTCATCTTGGGCTGAGCACTGCCTTTCTTTTGCTGTTGGAGTTAGAGCTTGTTAATTTTACAGGTGCTTTGGGTATAGGTTATTCTTACACTTACACTCTGCTTTTGACTAAATCCATGTTAGAGGTGGGGAGAGAAAATTAATCATGTCTTGCACCACATCTCCCAGATCTGCTATTCCTATTCATTCATTTAAGTAATCTTCAGCCTTCCCTCTCTGTGTTCTTCGCTTCCTGATAGAAGAAAAAAAACCTGCATCTTCTTTTCCTCACCTTCTATTATTTTCCCTACGGAAGGCAAAGGAGCCTAGGATTACAGGCAGCTTGTGTATGCAAGGAGCAGGAATTGGAGAAGAGAACACTGGAAGGGCAACTCAGAAAAAGACGCCAGAGGGGAAATGTCCTCTACAGTGGTTTTCCTCCTGCAGTTTATTCTGCTGTGATACTCCAGCACAGTTGTCTTGAAAACAGATGAAGTGCGGTGTTGTTTTGTGAAGTATTTTTACTGAGAGGCAGAAAATTGTTTTGCAGCCTTCAGTTAATCTTTGAGGCTAAGTAGATAGTAGGCATTATTCAAGTAAAATTCTGCCTTTTCTTCATTTACTTGAGTACAGGGTGCTTAATCAGTTCCTGCCTGCTTTGGAATGTGAAATTATTTTTGCCTTCTGTGTTATTCCAGAGAGTGTCAGTCCCATCCCTGTGCAATGCAGTATTCTTGCTTGGAGTATTGTTTTTGTGTTAGCGATACTATGTGCTAAACAGATTTATCTGGAAAGTTAAAACCAATACTAACTTCCTTGGACTGAAGTGATGGAAGTTGTTTTAAACTCATTTATTTCAGAAGGCTCAAAGTAATGGCCCTGAAAAACAAGAAAAAGAAGGAGTAATTCAGAACTTCAAGCGAACTCTCTCAAAAAAAGAGAAGAAAGAAAAAAAGAGGCGTGAAAAAGAGGCGTTGCGACAAGCATCAGATAAAGACGATAGACTTCTTCATGGGGATGATATGTAAGTGTGTTAGACTTTAATCAGTCCATAGAACCTCCATCTGACTTTAAAGGCTTCCCCCCTCTCTACCAAATAAATTTTTATTTCTTTCAAAAGTAAGTAGGTGACATGGGTGCAATACCATCATAAACCAAAATATGCGATGGCACTTTCTCTTGTTTGGGTGTACGTTTTGCTGCAAGACTTGTTTTTAAACCATTAAATAAGCTTTTTCCCACCAGAAACTGACACTTGCTTGGTGACGTGGACTTCCCCCACTATGTTTATTTTTGAGCATTTACTCTAAAGTGGGTTTATTCCTCTCCCTGTGTCTGACTCTTCTGTCTTTTGCCAGAAAAATCAGTATGTGTAGGTGTTTGCGTTTGACTTGCCACCTGACTAGCGGGTTGTTTAGCTCCGAGACATGTTTTGGTAGCCAGTCTTCTGGGTCCTTCAGTGCTTGCTCCCAAATCTGCTGCGCAGTATTCATTGAGATGGGCAGAACATACATTAATCCCTGTACAGAAAACTGGAGCACAGGAGTCGGGCATGAATAACTACGTAGAACTAGGAAGCTGAGAAAGGTCTACGTTAAACTGAACTTTGTCTCTCTGTTCTGTAGGTTTCCTATGTAATCACCAGAAAAAAAAACATCACTGGTGGATTTTTAACGTACCCAGAAAGAAAATGAATGGTGCAAACTTATTAATTGAGAACAGATTCTCAGAGCTGAAAGAAACTAGTTGACTGGTTGACGTAGAATAGAGGATTTAGCTGTTCAGCTTGACTTTTGTTTGTATCCTTTTTTTTTTTTTGAGTTCATGGTTGGTTTTCATGTGTGTAGTACTGCTCTGCATGGATAGGTTTGCAGTCTTCTTCAGATGTCAGTGTTACCTTTGCAGTATTCTGTGCAGTTAGTTAGCTTGTTCTGTATTTTTTTAAATTAAAATAGAATTGTATTTAAGTGCATTAGGAAAAGAAAAAGTGGGAGCTGCAAGCACGTGCTAACTCTACTTCTCTGTGATTTGCAATATTGTAAATCAGAATAAGATTAGGGATATAATGTAAATTTTCTTTGCCCTTTTTTTTTTTATTTCCCTAAGAGGTAGAAGGCCTCTCTTCTTTATTTGAAAACTAGCACCCATCAGTACTTAAATTGTTTGTTGACCATTTTGGGTGAGCGTGGGTGCACGAGCAGTGTCAATCCTAGCAAAAGTGGAGTTCATGTAGAAACCATCTTACAGCAACTTAATTGATCTGCCGTGTGTATGGATTCTGCTTGCCTTTTATCCCTTATGAAGTGACAGGATATATGTATTTTAAGCCATTAATGACAATTTGTTCTCTTTATTTAAACGAACTTGGCAGTGAGAATTCTCGCCTTGCAGCTGAGGTTTACAAAGATATGCCCGAGACCAGCTTCACCCGCACAATATCCAACCCCGAGGTGGTTATGAAGCGGCGGCGACAGCAAAAGCTGGAGAAGAGAATGCAGGAATTTCGCAGTTCTGATGGCAGACCAGACTCAGGTACTTGGATTGCTTCTGGTTAAGCTGTAAACAGTTAACTGTTTACTGAAAGAGTATTTTTAAGGCTAGCAACTCCTGTAAATTTGACTTAACTTCTGCTTTCTCGAACATTTTTTGTACTTCGTGGCTAATTTATCTATGGTGTAACTGAATGAAGGAATTGTTAGAGGCAAATTCCACGGGAGTCCGTTCTGTGATGAGTGTGAGTCAAAAGCTTTCAGTGGTGGGCAAATGGATGGGACAGAATATGCTTAGGGGTCTTGTGAATGGTGCTAAACCAGGCAAGGAGGAAGGAAAGAGTTGGTCTTATTAAACTGACAAAGCGAGGAAGTCTTCTAAAATAAACGCCATTCATTTCACTAAGAACAAGCTGAATGACCTGAATGTAAAAATGCAGTCAGCAGAGCAGAGACAAGGTGGCAAGGAGCGGTTGTTCAGGTCTGCACGAAGGGTTCCGGTAGATCTTGTGAACAGCAGTGGTCAAGTATTTCACATTCTTGGGGGTAGGGATAAAGATCACAGTGGCTATAAAAAAATCAGCATTAAATGGATGAATGAAGCAATGTTAGTACTGATAAAACCTCAAATTCTGATAAAACCTCTGTTCTGTCCATGGAAGAGCAGTGAAGAAGGAGTCAGAGGTATAGAAAACATCACTGGGGAGGGAAATCTTAAATGGGCTTTTTAAAGAGAGGGGAGGGTCTTGAAGGCTGGCACAAACTTGCTGTTGAGATGGGAAAGGTCGCTTCTTCATCCAGTCGTCGTCACTGTTTCATTTTAGCTTCAGGGAATACTGGGAATGGTGAAGCACTGGGGAGGAGACTGGCTTAGAGGCATCAGGACAGCGACGCTGAAGGTTTTTACTGATGGCAGAGATTAATTTATTTCTGGGGTGTTACGTAACTTTTCTTGTACTAGTGGATGGACTAAATGATTTCTGAAGGAGTTCGTTCTTATATTCTGGTAGAAATACAATAAATGGTTGTATGTTTGTGTGTTTATTCTCTGGTAGCATCGTTAATTAAATTTTGTTTCCAAGGTGGGACACTGAGAATTTACGCAGACAGTTTAAAACCAAATATACCGTACAAGACAATCCTGCTGTCCACTACGGATACTGCGGACTTTGCAGTTATTGAAGCACTGGAAAAATATGGTCTGGAGAAGGAAAATCCCAAGGATTATTGTATTGCTCGTGTAAGTGAAGTTACACAATCTTCTCATGCTTCATATATAATTTTGTTCCTTGCAGTAGCTTTAAAACTAAGTGGAAAGGCACTGGTAGTTCTGGACTAACTTTTTTTTTATAAACGGAGCACCCTCAGCATTCCTGAAGTGATTTGTCAGGTTTTTTGTCTTTAAAACCTAAGTCTTCCAATGTTACTAAATTACTACATAACTAAACGTTAGTAATGCAATTAACATATTTCTGTATTTGGCACTGTGGTTTCCTACCACGAAGTGTGCTGACGGTTTGCAGATGTATGAAGGAATAGTTCATCCTGCAGATACCTGCATTTGTGCTGTTTGTGCACAAAACTATTCCCCTGAACTGAGAGCGTCTGCTCGGAGGCCAGAGTGCCGCGTCCGGACTCGGCTGTAAAAGGTGGATGCTACGTGCTCTGGCCTTACGCCTCTCAGTGGTAGCTTACCCTCGTTACGCATAGAAAAGATTAAAAATTTAAGTGAAACTTATGCTTATTTTCATAATTTAATTATTTGAGGAGTTCTAAATGAATTGTACAGAATTGCTGTTTCGTAGAGGTGCGGCTTTACCAGCAAGTCCCATGGGTGGCACTGAGTAAAGGTGACAACCTCCTGTCCATAGCACCTTCCGAAGGAGAACACCGAGATTCGAAAACATCTGATCCTTGTTTCAGTCTAATCTTTGATGACATTTCTGGCTATTATTTGCCTAATAAACTTGGATTTATTGCTCCTTAAAATTATGAAAGAAAGGGAAAAATGTTTATGTCTTGTCGTATTGTGCTCTCTTTCCCCCCGCCCTTCCCCAGTGCTTGATGTGTCACGGGGAAACAGTGAGGAAGCTGACGGTATTTGCTGTTCCCCGCACTTCCCAGCCGCTCGGAAGGATGTGGATGTGCCTTTGGTCTTAAAGTTGGGGTTTTTTTATGATATCTTTGAGTAACCTTAATGCCTACTTCTGCTGTGCTTACAGCCTCTAGTGGTATAATTAGCTGGGAGTTGACATGTTGCTCTAATATTGTCCTAATTAGTAGTAAGGAAACAGTACGGTAGTAGTGCTGTTGTAGTTCCGTAACAGTGAACTAAGCTTAATTTTTCTTGTTTCAACAGTTTTGTCTTAGTTCTAGGAATATTTTTAATGACCTTCTGGACATTTTATCCTTGTCTTCATTAACCTGTAATTGGGGTCCCAACTGTGAAAGTTAATTTTACTTAATTTCAGTGAAATTTTACATCAGTTTTTGTTAGAGGGGAATAATTTTGTAAGTAATACAGGTTTGGGTTTGTTTAATGACACAGTGTATTAAAAATTGATTCTCAGTTTTGGCTGTGAAGTATTTTCTATGCGTAGTTTTAATTTTGGCAATTATCTTCATATTGCGGGTTCTATGAATGAAATTAATGATTCTCTGTCATTGATCTTATTAAATAGGCTGCTGGCTTGATGTGCTCGTTTTTCTGCTGGTTTCAGAGAATTGTGGGCTACAGCAGAGAGACTGTGACTGAATTTGGAAGATAGTTTTGCATCACTGTTTAGTGGAGAGTTAGAGGGTGTTACAAACTAGTTCTGTTTGAGAGAATTTATTGAACTGGTTGCACACTTACCAGGGAAACTCTTGCGAGTCACTGTGGCCGTAGCGGTGTTCGCTCTCCCCTCCCCTTGTTCTCTGATCTGCTGTGGGGATGCTTCATGTCGGAAGTAGTCTGAGGAATGTTGCTTTGATCTCGGGAAAGATTAACTAAGTCTTTGCTGTGAAGCAAATTGATTTAAATTAGTTTTCTGGAAGGCACTTCTGGAAAATATTTTGTCTTTTCTAAGCAACACGCCTTCATGATACAGTGAGTTTCTATACTGACAGAAGTTGTATGCCTATGTTCACGTGTGAAATATGTGAGTGGGCTTCATTGGCAAAGAGCACATCTTTTTTATACCTTGAAGTGTGGAGGACCTTACTGTTTTGCTCACCAGAAGTCACTGTAGTTGGCTAAAACCTACTTGGCCTTTCTTGGGGTCTCTGCTGATACAGTGCTTGGGTTTTGAATATGATTATCCTTCCTTTTTTAATAAATTTGAGTATTTTTGACCTAATTTTGAAGTGTTTTGCCAACTATTTTATGGAATTCCTTTCCTAGCTTGAAACATCAAAATATCCTAGCTTTAGCCTGATGTGTCTTTCATCACTGTTTTCTTTTTTGGAAAGCAGAATAATAGAAAGGTGTCGTGGCCCTTGGTACTCCTTTACGCTGAGGTCTCATAGCTGTTCTTTACCCCGGTGGGGCTTTTGTTTTTCTGACGCTTTACAGTGTTCTGTAGAAGACAAATCTGTTTTACACGTGCTCCTATTTTTTGTTGGGTTTAAAACAGTGTACAGTTCAACGCAGAACTTCAGTTTCTTGTTGTTGTGATTCTGAATGTTTTGCTCTCTTTGGTGGCAGGTGAAGCGTCTCCAAGGAAGGCTTAAACGGTTGGCATTTACTTAACTGTTAAGATAGTTTTTAAGTTAAATGACACGACCTTTACAAGGCTGCATAAGTACCTGATAATAAAGTTCACTCACTTCTGAAGTTTCATTGGAAAGATGAATGTTGTAAGACTTTTTCTTCTCACTTGCCAGCGACGGCGTTGGTTGGCAGCGGCAGGTAGCTGCTGGCTGCCTGCCCTCCCAGCCGGCGTTGCGGTGGATCTGGGCACAAACTGAAGCAGAGGAAGCTCCAGCTGAACATGAGGAAGAACTTCTTCCCTCTGAGGGTGACGGAGCCCTGGCCCAGGCTGCCCAGGGAGGTTGTGGAGTCTCCTTCTCTGGAGATATTCAAGACCCGCCTGGACGCGGTGCTGTGCAGCCTGCTGTAGGTGACCCTGCTTGGGCAGGGGGGTTGGACTAGATGACCCCCAGAGGTCCCTTCCAACCCCTACTATTCCGTGATTCTGTGATTCTGGATCGGCTGTACCTTTCTGCCCGCTTCTAGAGTGCAAGTAAATACAAGTTTGTTCCAGTATGGATTTGGTTTGTTTCAGTTCGCATCGTTGGAGTTCCCTTCCGTAGTGCGGGGATCGCTGCACATCTCTCAAGATGTCAGATTAATCAGACAGTCCTCCAAGCTACCTGTGCGTGTTCACTTCGGGCGCCAGCCTTGCGGCGTGCAGCGAGCCAGTGAACTCTGCAGAGCAGAATCTTGAGAAGGCTTTTGGTTTAACGTGCTTTGCTTGTTTACTGAAGGATAAGGCAGAAACAACTTTTTGTGATACCAATTGACTCTATCCCAGCCAAAACCAGGACACCAGCAAAAACATACAGTTTATGGTGATGAGTGTTTTGGTTTGGTTATTTTTGTTTTTAAGAAGTTGATATTACAGACATAAGGCATTAAATATTTTTTACAAATCCCATTGTTTTCCCCCCACCCCACCCTGTGCAGAGCCTGTGTTCCCAATTTGTAAGGAAAATTGAGGATGAATTCATTTGAATAAGCAGATATGTTAAAACATACAGTAGATATGAGTTGTTTATCTAAAAAAACATTAAAATCATAAAAGATTATAGCATGGGGGTTTTTTGTGCAAAGCTTTTGCTAAGGGTAGATCTGATAACTTGATCTGTAGTGTTACTGACCACAGGGGGCTGCAGTATTTCACTGTTACCTTCTCTGCCTTGCTCATCTCAGCAAATGCCTTGGCAGTGAAGTCCTGAGTTGCTGTGGGCTTCATTTAAATTTCTTAACTTGTGTTTTCTGCGTGTTTCACTGCATTTGAAATGAAGAAGTGTAGACTGGAATGGTTTTATGGTAATTTGTATATGCTCATGAATGCAATTATGAGGAAGAAGAGTATATGAGCCAGCAGTGTGCCCTTGTTGCCAAGAAGGCCAGTGGTCTCCTGGGATGCATTAGGAGGAGTGTGGCCAGCAGGTCGAGGGAGGTTCTCCTCCCCCTCTACACTGCCCTGGTGAGGCCCCATCTGGAGTGCTGTGTCCAGTTCTGGGCTTCCCAGTTCAAGAAAGATGAGGAGCTA